AAAGACAAATAAAAATAAAGTATTCATTGGTTAAGATCAAATAACTTGGCTGGGGTTGTAGCTCAATTGGTAGGGCGCTTGCCTTTCATGAATGAGGCCCTGGGTTTAATCCTCAGTACAACATAAAAATAAATTATTAAAAATAAAGACATTGTGTCCATCCACAACTAAAAAAAATATTTTTAAAAAAAGATATCAAATAACTACCTCAGAAACTATACACAACAACTCTATAAGCAAGATGAATTCCCCTATAGTGGATGCAGACCAAACATCAAAGACACTTCTTGCCAACAGAAGAGATAAAAAAGCAATGTTTAAAAGTGAAGTTCTAAAGATACTGTTATTAATGAAAGGAAAAAGGTTCCATTTGCTGAGGTAAGTATAAAATGGTCAATGTGGGGCAAGATAATATTTTATTAATCAGCAGAGAAGACCAGCTATGTTGTTGGAGGACAGTATAGGTAATTAACTAATATAAATAGTTATAGGTAAATAAACATTATTTGCTTACATTAGAAATATTGGGTAAAATCACATTTTATGTTGCTAAGGTAAGCTTTTTTAATATTTATTTTTGGTTTTAGGTGGACACAAAATCTTTATTTTACATTTATGTGGTTCTGAGGATCGAACCCAGTGCCTCATGCATGCTAGGCAAGCACTCTACGACTGAGCCACAACCCCCAGCCGCTAAGTGAGCTTTTTTAACAACCTCTCCTCTTGTGGGCTCACATCACTTTAAAGTCTTCAGTATTTCTGTAATCCTAGCAGTTTAGGAGGCTGAGGTAGAAGGATTATGAGTTCAAAGCCAGCCTCAGTAACTCAATGAGAGTCTGTCTCTAAATAAAATATAAAAAAGGGCTGGGAGCCAGGTGCAGTACCATACACCTGTAATCCCAGAAGCTCAGGAACCTGAAGCAGGAGGATCACAAGTTCAAAGCCAGTTTCAGCAATGGTGAAGCACTAAACAACTCAGTGAGACCCTGTCTCTAAATAAAATAGAAAATAGGGCTGGAGATGTGACTCAGTGGTTGAGGGCCCCAAGTTCAATCCCCAGTACCAAAATAAAAAATAAAAATTAGAGGGGGTATGGGGCTAGAACTGATAGGGGAATGTGATGGACATCATTAACCAAAGTACATGTATGAAGACATGAATTGGTGTGCATATACTTTGTATACAACCAGAGATATGAAAATTTTTTGCTATATATGTGTAATATGAATTATAATACATTCTGCTGTCATATATAAATATAAAAATTAATTAAAACAGAAAAATAATTAAAAAAAAATTAAAAAGTGCCAGGGATGTGGCTCATGGCTACGCACCCCTGAGTACAAACAGAAAAAAAAATTCCCAGTACCAAAAAAAAAGATCTTTAGTTATGCTGACTAGTAATAGAATCAAACACAATAATGATCTTTGAACTAGTCATGGGGTTAGAATAATAGTTCTCAACCTTGGTGGCACATTAAAACAACCTGGATCACATAAAAATCTTCATGCTAAGCCACACTACAGTCCAATTAATCAGAATTTGCAGTGAGATACAATGATCGATATTTCTAAGTCTCCCCAAGTGACTCCAACATGAAGACAAATGTATTCTTGCATTTTCTGTGGCCATAAAAAAACACCTGATACAGGAACAGTGGCACCCACCTGTAATCCCAGTGACTCCAGAGGCTGAGGCAAGAGAATCACAAATTTAAGGCCGACCTCAGCAACTTAATGACACCTTGTATCAAAACAAAAAATGAAAAATAACTGGGGATGTAGCTCAGTAGTAAAGAACCGATGGGTTTAATCCCCAGCATAAAAAAAATTAATACCTTAAGCTAGGTACTTTATAAAGTAGAGATTTATGTAGTTTAGTATGAAGGCAGAAAGTCCAAATAGCATGACATCAGCTCTGTTGAAAGCTTCCCTTGACTATATCACATCATAGCACATGGCATCATGCAGAAAGCACACAGAAAGGGAAAGATCACATGGTAAGCAGGACCCCAGAAAGCAGGGAGGGGCCAGCCTTGCTCCTTTATAACAAACCACTCTCATGAGAACTAACTTATTCCTTGAGACCATCATCAATCACTTTCAAGGACACTCCCCAATAACATATTTAATTTCTGCTACCCCACCATTCAAAGGTTCCACCACCTCCTATATCACCACTCTGAGGACCAAGATACCAACACATGGAGTTTTGAGTCACTGTAACCAAACCAGAGCACCCAGACTGAGGACCAGTTACATTCATCCTTACACATAACATACCTAAATATATCTAAAAGACACAAAAGTAGTATAGAAAAGAAGTATGAATTTTTGAAAGGGATAAAGATTGAAATTACTTTTCCAAAACATTTGTGCATTTCTCCAAGATGCTCGGGCCATAGATGAAAAATAAAGAAGGTTATATAGATGGTGCAGAATTTCAGTTATACAGTGATGCTAATGTAGACAACATCTCATAATACTCCATCAATCCCATTATAGATGTACCAAAAGAAGCAGTGTTCATATAGGAGATATTGAGAAAATTGAAAGACATGAGAGCTACACAAACTACAGAACCAGATGGGCAGATGGGGGTTCCACAAGTTTGGTTTCACTGGCTTATCCAATATGAACACTGCACTTCTGAGGAACCTCCCTCTTGATGTCTCTGTTCCTCAGGCTATATATGAAGGGGTTGAGCATGGGAATGACTGTGGTGTACATCACTGAAGTCAAATAAATAAATACACTTTATAGAAAAAAAATTGAGTGAATAAACTACACAAAGACTGGAAGAAGTTATCTAATATAATATATATGCATTTTTATGAACATATATACAATACATATATATGTGTGTGTATGTGTGTGTTAATACAGATAGATAGGTGGATGTGTATGTATCAAGATACAAAGATACATATAACATATACATACAATTAGACAAGTAACCAGAAGGAAAGCATTCAAATTTTTAAAAAAGAGAGAGGATAATAAATGGGTGAATTGCCTCAAAAACTGCCTTCATAAAGATGTCCAAATAACCAATAAGCACACAAAAATGTATGCTAAACCATTACATATCAGAAAAATGCATAATATCACTACAGACTCTATTGAATGGCTAAAGGTTCTAAGCATGGGCCAGGTGTGTGAAACTGCTAAAACTTACATGGTGTTGGGGGATTACAGCTGAAACCAACATTTTTTTAAAACTAAAGCATCTACCAAAATTATACATGAAGTCTGCCCTATCATTCAGTAATTGCATTACCTCACATATAGCATATACCAAGACAAGTAAGTATGTAAGTCTACCAAAAGACCAATTAAAGGACAAACCAGGCATTATGTTGAGTAAAAGAAGCCAAACAAATAACTGTACATATTATAGTTTAACATTTATCTAAAAGCAAGAACAATCAAACCAAATCAAGTATAGTAAGAGTCAAAATTGGGTTTCCTCTTTGGTGTGATTACTGAGAAAGGGGATGAATGAACTTCCTGGAATCCTAGAAATGTGTCCATCAGGATGTATACATCCACGTGAAATTTCATCAAGCTGTACATAGATTGGCACTTCATGCACATTAGTGTATGTATATCTTGAAAAAAGAGTAAAAAGATAATTAAGGGAAATGGTGTAGTTATACTTTTAGAAATAAAGTATAACTTTTTAAAAAAAAAAGTACCAACTAAAAAGAAATGACCAGATATGATGGCACATACCTAAAATCCCAGACATTTGACAGACTAAGGCAGGAGGATCACCAAGTTCAAAGTCAGCCTCAACAACTTAATGAGGCCCTAAGAAACTTAGCAAGACTCTCTCCCAAATTAAAAACAAAAAGGACTGGAATTTGGCTCACCAGTTAAGTTCCCCTTAGTTCAATTCCTGGTACCAAGACAAAAAATCTAAATACAAAGAATGAGTCTAAGTGATGATGATATATCAACATAGGTCCATTAATTATTTTTAAAAATTACCATTCTGGTGAGGCTATCCATGTTTGGGAGTAGAAAAATCTCTCTACCTTCCATTCAATTTTGCTATTAACTAAAACTTCATCTAAAAATAGTTTGAATCTTTCAAAAAAATATATCCACCTAGAACCGTAGAATGTTGCCTTATATGGAAACAAGGTCTTTGTCAATATACTAAAGTTAAGATGAGGTTATTCTGGATTAAGATGGATCCTAAATCCAATGACAGATGTCCCTATATGGACAGAGATTAGAAACAGGTACACAGGGAAGGTAATGGTGGAGGCAGAGACTAGAGTGATACATCTATAAACAAAAAGGTCTGCCAGCAACCACCTGAAGCTAGAAAGTGACAGGAAGGGACTTTTTCCTTATAGCCTTTAGAAAGAATATAGCTCCACTGATATTTTGTTTCACACTCCCAGATGCCAGAAATATGAAAGAATAAATTTCTATACTTTTTACCCACCAGTTTGTGGTACTGGTTCACAGAGGGGCTTAAGAAACTAACATTATCTACCCCATAGACTCATCTCTAAATCATCCAAAAAGCAGTGCAAATTCTCTAATAGGTACTTTCTAATGCCCTCTTTTTAGATGCCCCTCGACTCCCCATGGGTATGTTCTCCCATGACTGCAAAATAAACCCTGCTTGTTTAACTTACAGGTGTGCTCCTTGTGGTCTCTGAGTAAAGGGCATTCACTGCAGTAGAATCTTCAAAGGTCTCAAATCACAAACTCTCCCTGTGCCCCAGAGAAGCCCCTCAATGCCCACACATTCAACACTTAATAAGCCTCAAGTCTTTCAACCACAAAAAGAAAAAGAAAAAAACAAGTTTAATATGCCCCTGTTCAGTTTCATAAAGAAGCCTCTGGATCGTAGGCACCCTGTGATCAGTGACCATGTTTGTCTTATTTACAAAGTATTCCCACTCCTCAGCACAAAACAATGTCAACTAGTAGATAAAACTGTTTTCTAAACTTTACATGAACAACACTGCCAATCTTACCTAGTGAGACCAGGTTCTGGAAGGTTTCCAGCATCACATCTCTGTAGAGGCTCCTCTGTTCAAGATCCAGCAAAGCCCACTCCTGCTGGGTAAAGTCCACAGCCACATCCTCAAAGGTCACCGAGTCCTAAAAGATGCCACAAACTCTGTTCAGAAAGGTACAATTCCTCCACTGTGTGCGAGATGACGGGTGAGGCTCTCAGCACTGGGGACCTGAGAATCAATTCAGGGGAGGCTCAGAAGATTCTGTGTTCTCACCAAGTCTATATCAGGACTCAGTCAGCAGATCTCTTTCCCTTTCTACCCACATATACTTTCTGGTTGATCAAATTCTGATAGACTTATCAATTCCAAAAAAATAAATTTATCTCTTCACAGTATAATTATAATGAGGACACACACAATTACTATTATACAATCACCTAATTTAGCAAAAATACTTCTGTTACAAGATGTCAGGGGGATCTGCACACATCAAGCAGTCGAGCAGACACCCACTGGGTATCTGATAATTTAATAAACCTATTTTACCATCTAGCTGGAGATACTGCCATTCCACAGGTTGAGGGCTCAGTCCCACAATACTTTCTCAAGTCCTGAAGCCAGTCACAGGTAGTAGGTTGTCACATACACCTCTGACCAACAGGCTACCTCCTCCTTGAGGGAGGGAATTTGCTGGGACCACTCAAAGAATGCAAAGAAATACATCCCTGTGTTTACTAGTTTCTTATAAAGAATATTACAAAGTACATAGATGGATGGCCAGAAAAAGAGATGGATAGGACACAGTATGGTGGGAAAGGTGCAGAGCTTCCATGCCCAAGAACCTCAATATGTTCAGCTATCGTGAAGCTCCCCAAACCCACTCTTCTGGGGTTCTCATAGAGGCTTTACTTGTAGCCACTGGTTATCAACTTAACCCTCAGTCTATCTGCCTTCCTAGAGTTTGACGTGTGCGAAAGTTTCAATCCTTTAATCATGCCTCCATCTTTCTGGACCAGCCATGATCCTTAGGTTATCTACAGCCTACCAGCCACTAGTCATCTTATGGGCATACAAAGCTATTTTTATCATTCCAGACATTCCACAGGTCTTAGAAATTCTGTACCAGGACCCTGGACTAAGACCAAATACAGACCACACAATATCACACTTGGTGACCAATTCCAGTTCCATATTGCTCCAGAACTTGTGGCAGAAATGAGAGAAATATTCTAAATGAAATAATTTCCACAATGATACAATCAGTTCCTTGTAACAGAAATAATTTCACTTGCTACCTTAGTTATATCATAGCAAATCTGCACAACATGAAACCCAAGATTAAATGAGTTTTTCTTTATTTGTTCCTTCTCCACCTTGCTGGGGATTCAATACAGAAGCACTCTACTCCTGAGCTACATCCACAGCCCTTTTCATATTTTAATTTGAGACAGGGTCTTCCTAAATTGCCTATGCCCTTAAACTCAGAACCTCCTTTCTTAGTCTTCCAAGTAGTTGGCATTACAGGCATATGATGAAGTTTTAATGAATGAAAACACACTGAGGGAAAGGAATTTTTCCCTCACAAACCTGAGAGGCCTATGAGCCTGCACAGCACATCTTTATGGCAGGCCCACAAGTAGCAAATTTTCTTTATTCTAGGCCAGGATTTGGCAAAATAGGCATGAGCTAATCAGTCCTCTATTTGTGTACATCAGTTTGACTGGAACACAACAAAACATTTCTTTATAAGCTTTACCTTAGTGCTTTTGTACTAAAATGAGAATTTCCTTGCAATAGAAATTCTCTGGTCTTCAAAACCTAAAATATTTCCTATATGATCCAATAAAGAAACAGATGGCCACCCTGTGTTCTAAAACAGCTAGGCAATACCCATCACAAGACACATTGTGATAGCAAGACCCAGAATTCATTGTTCCTCACTGCCTAGTGCCACAATCTGGCTAGGCACAATTCAGGAGCCACTTGTCAAAAGAAACGAACTTTATTTTTAGAACCACACATGCCAAACAAAACAGCTCTTCAGGAAAAACCTTCAGAGCCCAACTGCCACAACCAGCTTCCCACAAGCCTCTCCACCTCCCCCACTCCTCCTGCTCTTGAGGCAGATTAGCTGGGTTGTGTGGGCAGAGACAAAATAGTCCCCCAATGAGCAGCTCTGTGGTCTGAAAGGGCACGGAAACAGCCCAATGAGCATCACCGCAGAGGAGCCAATCAGTTGGCTGCTAGAAGTTGCTGGGCGGCTGTGAGCCAATCATCAGCTGGCAGGTGGAAGTTTGCTGGGGCCCCTTCGGCTGTGGCTCTCAACAGCCTAGGACATATGAACCTTTGAATATCTGATGAATGAAAACTCTTAATGGATGGATGGATGAATGAAATCTAATCTGTGAAGCCAAGTATGTAAATCTAGAACCTCTTTTCTGTAAGACGTTTGTAATCACATTCACATTCAATTGAATGCCATATAGTCCTTTTAAATAAATACATAAAACAGCTAGAAAGCCAGACAGAGTGGTACACACCTATAACCCCAGTTACTTGGGAGGCTTAGGCAGGAGGATTAGTATTACAAAACTGCTAAGCCAGAGTATGACAAGTCTACTTGTCTTCAAAGCCTAAATGCCTGAGTACATTTCTGGACACATGCCTTACTTACAACTTAGTTGTTATTAGAATTCCTTTTCCCTATTATCAGATTTTAACCTAGAACACTGTTGGGCACTATAGTGTCAGAGGAAAGACTATTCAAACGTGATATCTCTAAGCTCCTCTTCCAAGCCATTGGCCTTGGGCAAGGATATTTTTCTTAATACCCACACCAACTACTCTTTAATATCATTTTACTTAGGTAATATTTGTGCTCACCCTACCACAAGCAGTCATGGCTGTTAGTTATGGAAAATGAAAAACCCCAAGATAGTGCAGCCTGGGAAGAGGGAGTGAAAAAGAAAGCCATACATCGATAGCCTTCATCTCTTGAAAGATAAATCCTTTTCAGACTTGGGCCACAAGTGGGGAGAAAGTGTTTCATCAAACCTAAAATGATAATCTCTGGGAAGCTTTTAATCTCTTTCAAGATGAATCCTCTCCAGGTACTGGCCACAGACCCCTCAAACCCAAAACTCAAAATTCCTGAGTGCCCAAACTGACATGCCCACTAAATCACCTCTCAGTGTAACCTATTTAAGCCCAACTCCTTTGGCCAGTGGCTCATTTCCACCAGGACAGTGAGTCCACTGGAGGTATAATACCATTCCTGATAAAAAGCTGATGAGAGCTGGGACGGCGCTGAGTGGTCAAGTGCTTGCCTCGCCATGTGTGAGGCACAGGGTTCAATCCTCAGCACCACAAAAAAATAAATAAAGACACTGTGTGTTCATCTACAACTAAAAACATATTT